GAGCATTTCAGTAACCCCAGCATTTAAGATATGTCCCAGGGAAATCATACTGCAGCTGGCTGCTTAGATCACATATGTTTTTAATGGAAACATTGAAAATTGTTTCAAGATTGAGGCATGTACATGTTAAATGTTGAGCTGAAGAACACATAGAACTGTACTAAATTGGTTTCTTGTACAGCCTGACAAAATGCTCAGGATGCATCCTAATCCCAAGTGCTCCCATAAAAGCCTGGGTATCCTTGTACTTTCCAACTACCAAATCAATCTTAAACCTTTAGGCGAGGTTGCTTAACTTTCAGTCTGATTTAATCACTTTTCCATCACGAATTGGCAAAACTGAGAAATACTTTGTGGCTAACTTCAGCGTATTTTATATGTTTGTGATATCTGTACTTTTTTATTTTCAATGTATAACTAATAAAAAAAATAATCCCATATGCATTTGTTGCGGAATAATAATACTTAGAGGAATCAAAAGATTAGTACTACATGTTGTCTTTATTGCAGAAGGAGTTACACTGAGGAGCCCTGAGGTGGCCCGGAGGACAGGAAAGGACAACATTCAAAACTCCAGCAACCAGTGAAAGAGGAATTAAGATATTACTCACCGAAGCCTCTACAAAACCAGACTAAAATGCAGTTGAAAGCCGTTGCCAACTCTGGAACTCAAATGAATGTCTGCTATCTCAGAAGCAATAGCAGCCAGAGGGAATTTGAAAGGGATCGAGGAAGAGTGGGGTGGGAGACAAAATCTCAAAGACCATCAGGATGAGAGTTATTCACCACCTTAGACATCATCACAAGAAGGCAGCCTACCCTGTGGAGCCTTGATTGCCCAACAGAAGTTACTGTGTTGAGCAGAGGGTTTCTTGGTCAGAGTTATGGAGGAGGCCAAGCTGAGGCAATCTGAGTCTGAACTGTTTACAGTGTGTAGTTTGAGTTTGAACACCCTGCTGCTTGCTCTGTGATAGTAGCTGTACTGAGTGGTAAATGAGTGAGTAACAGCAAGCTGGCAGAGCTGAGGTTGCAGTAAGAGACACACACATATCTCGATGGTTCAGGCATGCCCTGTGTCAGCCGTGAATTCTGCAGTTTGTGTTAATAAGTGGAGCATGCAAGTTGTCTGCTAGCCATAAGGTGGACGGCAGCCAGGCAGCCTGCAAAAATGGATGTTGTGGGGCACCAAAACAAGGAGCTGAACACACTATCTCGAAAGAAATCTCTACAGAAGAAAAAAGGGAGATACCATCCTGCATGTCTGGGCTAGTGTGAATTCATCAGGCTTCGTGTTTGAATGGGATCCAGGTATAGTGTACAAGTAACTCCTGTTTGCTCTGCTTGACCTAAATCCAAGTTTTGCTTTGTCAGGTTTTGTCCGACGTGTGTTCTGTTTCCCTACTGTGTAGTAACAGTGCTGGAGGCTGGGTGTCAGCATTGGCAATCTGATGATTCAATCACTCAAGTATGAAGGCCATATTGTGGCAATAGGGAGGAAGTGAGGACATGTAACCTTACCATGTGTTTTGTGGTGGTCGAAGGTTTCAGTTCATGCTGAAAGAATTCTTATTTGTGAAGTTTCAAAAGGATTAAATGCAGACTGTCCTTGCATTCTAGACAGCAGTCAGGCACCACAAGCAACCTGCCTCTCTGCCAACAATGTGTTTGGGGATATAATGCTTTGTTCGGTTATTTATAAGCAGTCATTTGCTGGGATCGACATCTACCAGAGCCCAGCCATCCACTTCCACTGCCTCCCATTCCTTGGCAGCCATTCCTGCAGCAGGAATGCATGGGTGGCAAGAGTCCTCCAGCTGCCCTTCAGCTGTCCTCATCTTCAGTCTCTCTGCTTTGGGGGTCTTGGGCTGGTAAGTGAAGCATCTGCTATTTGAGACCCTATCGTAAAGAATCATGTTGCCATAAATGAGTAAATTTCCAGTGCTAAGAGTCAGGAACTGTATCAGATAGGAAGACTGCCAGCTCTCAGATACCCACCTCTGTTTGGGCCACAAGAGGAAGTCACCCTGATACAGTATCTGTGAAGACACCAAATCCCACTCACCTCTGACGTTCACAAGTTTGAACTAAGCAAAGCACTTTACCCATGGACAATGTTGAGATGCTGGTCATCGCAGAAAAAGAAGAAGTGAACTTGGTGTTGAAGGCAGAATGTGATATAATTGGTTGTGAGATATGAAGAGATAAATCAGATGATTGAAATTGCAGTTGGGTTCCAAACATGGGTTGTGAGGTTTTTTCCAAGTGGTGAAGACATTCAGCGTGCTGCATGTTTCAGAGATTGAGGTTTGAAACCTAACTAAACAAATAATGAAAATATAAAAATGAAATGGAATATTGTTGTGGTTTAACCCCATTGGGCAGCTCAGCACCACACAGCTGCTCACTCACTCTCCTGAGATAGGATGGGGGAGAGAATTGGAAAGTTGAGCAAAACAAGGAATTCATTTACAGTTTCCCATTGGCAGGTGGGTGTTCAGCCACATCAGGAAAGCATGGATATGGGACATCCTTTTGGCTAATCTGGGTCGGCTGTCCTGGCTACGTCCCCTCCTGACTCCTTGTGCCTCCCCAGCTTCTCACTGCAGGGCATTGTAGGAAGTGGAGATGCCCTTGGCTATGTGTAGCTCAGCAACAACTAAAATGTCAGCATGTTATCACTGCTATTCATAGAATTGTAGAATAATAAAATGGCCTGGGTTGAAAAGGACCACAATGATCATCTACTTTCAACCCCCCTGCTATGTGTGGGGTCACCAGCCACCAGACCAGGCTGCCCAGAGCCACATCCAGCCTGGCCTTGAATGCCTCCAGGGATGGGGCATCCACAACCTCTCTCTATTTTCATTGCAGATCCAAACCACAGCATCATACAAGCCTCTACAAAGAAAATTAACTATCCCAGCCAAAACATGACAAATATAAAATCCACAAACCAAAGACGAAAGGTAGTGGCACATAGCAGGGAAGGGATAAAAGCAACGCTTTTGGTCTGATTAGGTGTAAAACACATGATGTTCCCAAGAAGCAATGTTTTTGCTCTGTTCCAAGTCAAGAAGTATGGACAGCAAAATCTTAGTATGTGCTCCTCTTTGTGAATTGCACCATATTAATACACAAAGGTAGCCAAGCTCATATACTGTGCATGCAGGTGTCACTACAGTGTAGCAGTTAGAACTGTTACCACTCAAGAAGAACAAGGAAATATTCATAACGTGACCATGGAGAAAGGAGATGGGGGAAGAAGTACCTGTATCTTGACAATCCCAGATCAAATGTTAATTCTGAACAGAATTTCATTCTATTGTAGGTTGTCAGATGCCAAATAACAAGCCAAAAACAAATCTTGAAAGAAAGAAAATAATAGCCCAAGATACCTGGATCAATATCTCAGTACACAGTGCTCCAGGCAGAGAGGGTGCAATAGATCTTTAGATGTTTAACCACTTGTATGTGTTTCCATGGGGAGGTTAGGCTTCCAGTGATTAGTATTGTGTCACTGGCTAGTCAGTGTTTTTATCTTAGTAAGCCCAAGATGTATTGTGGTTTAGGCCCCAAAAGTTACCAACTCTACTGTGAGGGAACTAAGAGAAAAAAATTGAGTGCTTTAGGAAATGTAGAGAGATTTTCCAGGATCATTTATGAAGCATCCTCTTTGCTTGTTGGTTACTATTAAGCACATAATAAGTCAATTTCAGAAAAGTGGTGATTAAACTGGGTTAAGTTGACATGATTATGCTGAATTATCCATGTAATGAAAAATTTCACTGAGAGGGAGGTAATGGCCACACAGATCCCAGCAAGGTCTGCTGAAAGGCATGTGAGCTTGCTCCTCTCCCTGCAAAAGAGCTTAGTCCTACCCAGGATTCATCTGGATGCCTCAGACTCACTTTGAATTTTAGGGTGAGAGTGAATGGCCTTAAGTTGCACCAGGGGAGGTTCAGGTTGGAAAGTAGGAAAAATTTCTTCTTGAAAGGAGTGGTGATGTAGTGGCACAGGCTGCCCAGGGAGGTGGTGGATTCGCTGTCCCTGGAGGTGTTCAAGAGCCGTGTGGATGTGGCACTGAGGGACATGGGCAGTGGGCATGGTGTGATGGGTGGTAGTTGGACTGGGTGATCTTAGTGGTCTTTTCCAACTGTAATGATTCCCTGATTCTATGAATTATCATCTTCTTGGAAATCAGTTGTCCCATCATTGCTCCCACTTGCATGGTTCTGCGTCTACATTGCTGGATTTTGGAAGCATCCCTGAAGACACTGAGGCAAGCACGCTTCCCTAACGAAGTCTTCAGTGATTCATCCCATCAGAGTATCAGACTTACATGAACAACTTCTGTGTGATTTCTGCAATGGTTGGATGCTCTGGAGTAGCACTTGGAGTGGATACATGCCCAGGCCACCTGCTCCCAAGCAAAGCCACCAATTTAAGGCCACCATCCACTTTGCAGTCCTACCACAGAGAATTTGAAAGCATTTGGGAACTATGGCAATCGCTAAGAACGAAGTCACATTTTACTGTGGGGACCAGAGCTTCCTGCTGGCCAGCAGCCAGGAGCTGGCTTCATCTCTGAGTGCTCCCCCTGCATTCTGCTCTGCTGCCCCACTCCATGGAGGTGGTGCAGCAGATACGGTGCCACAGACCTCTCTGTGTACCCTTTTCCTCTCCTCAGTGCTATCAGAGAACCGCCCTGGGGAGCCTGGGCTGAGACATGTGCTTGTGTGTGTGCGAGCACGTGTGTGTGCGTGCGCCTGTGCACACACAGCTGTGTTTGTTTTCTGCTGTATATAGGAGAAAACAAGATTATTTATGTTCTAATAACTGTGTGTTCCCTGTGTGAAATATTTTCTGCTCTGATTTATTGTTCTCTCTAGGCCTGCCCTCAAGCATTGTTCTTATATTTGGAGCCGGTCACACTTTTTTCCATCTGCAAATGGAAATCTTAAATAAAATGGCATATTAAATAACAATTTAAAAACAAAAAACAAACAACAACAACAACAAAAAACCACAAAGAAGATTTGGAGAAAGGAGGAGTTCCACTCCTCTGTATTCCCATTATTTTTTTCCTCTTGTCTTTCCTTTCCTTTTACGGTTTCTCCCACCTGCCCTTTTACCCCTTTTTACTCTGAAAGGAAGGAGCTTTTCTCCCCTATGCTTCTCAGCAGTTTTGACTCAATCTCAGACAAGTTTTCATGCAGTCTGAGTAAAAATTCTTTTAAAGTCTTGTCTTTAAATCTTTCCACTTTACTCAGTGTTTTAAATTCTCCTCACTAGCTTAGAGTCATTCTTTTCTGAGGCGTGAAATCCCCCCAGCTCTATTGCCTACACAGCAAAAGGAGCATGAACAAGGCAATAGGCTGTAAAGAAAAAACAAGAGAGAATAACAAAAATTTGTCTAAGAGAAATGAATCATCCAGCATTATGCCACAAGAAAACAAAGAAAATCCAGAATGTATGTATTTTTTTCCTTTCTTATTGGCCGTATCTATCAAGCAAGATAAAATCTCGTGCTATTGTATTTGTTCCCTAAACTAGATGCACAAACTGCTTTGTACGTAGCCTCCAGGGATGTTGTCACCGCACAAATGCTGTCATTAAAGTGTTGGTAGGAGGTCCATTAGGAAATGCCAGGAGAAAAACAACTGGGGGCTGGAGGGTCTTTTTAGGAAAAGCAACTAATGCACGAGTCTGGAAGAACAGCTTGGTGCTCATAAATTAGGAGTCGTTAGGAGGTCTCCCACACATCACTGTAAAACTGCAAGCTTGCTAGAGTTTTTTGAGTTCATTGCTCTAGATATGCTCCGTGTTCTCCAGCTTTTCTATCTGCTTCATGCTAAGTCTTTCTGTGGCTGTAAGCCTCTGTCAGTTAACTCCCCAATGTCTCCGTGCTTCTCTGTCTCTCCTTTCAGTTTTCTTGGTTTCTTGGTACTGTTTCGATCCCATATCTCAGCTGCTCAAGAGGAAAGAAAATTAGCTTAGAGGATTCCTCCCTTCTTCCATCAGCTGCCCCTATTATTTACTTTGTTAAGAAAAAAGCATATCCAGATGTGGAAATAGAACCAAGCCTCCTGGAATTCAAGGAGCATTTGAACACCACTCTCAAAGAAAGGGTTTGGAATTTGGGTGATGCTGTGTGGAGCCAGGAATTGGACTCAGTGATCACTGTGGGATATCCTTCCAATTTGGGATATTCAGTGGTTCTGTGATTCTATAAAAAGAATAACTATAAATTATTAACTCTGCAATACCTTCAGTGTAAAGACTAAAAGAAAGACTAAAACTGAAATAATGTGGAAGTCTTGTCTTGCCCACTGTTCCAGAACAGTGAATTCCGAGGGTTTCTGATCCTGAAAAATCAGGTGCTTTTGGGTAGAGGCCTCTAGAGGTCACCAGAACATAATTAATAAGGCAGTGCTAAGCCCAGATAAGGAGTGTAAATTGCTTTGTTTTGATGGAGACTTTATACCTCTCTGTGTCCCCTATCACAAGGAATCCAGACATCATTAAATAGCAAATAACATCAGATGCCAGAAAAATCATAACCTCCTGGACAAACTTCTGTACAGAAGTCAGGTCCCTTTGGTGTAAGAAAGCAGTCTTACATTAGGATCTCTTGTCAGATTCTCACCTGTACACTTCTGTAACAAAACCTGCCCTGGAGTCTGGGCTCCTTCGAGCCCTACATCTGTAAGCCCAGTAAATGCTGTGAATGTCACCAAACCATGAAGGATGCCAGTTCTTTCCCTAGTACTGGTGCAGGAAAGCAGTAACTCAAAACAGAGCACAGGCTGCACGTGCACATTAAATAATTGGTAAAGACTTTTCTAATTTTCTTTTAACCCTGTGAGTTATTATCTGAAGGGGCAGAAATCCCCGTAAAGAGTAAAGTTGCCTTCCAGGTCACTTATTTCTACAGAGAAGGTTTAGAGAGGAGCTACAATTTAATTATGATTAAAAGGTTGCCGTGAGGCCAGAGGCCTCATCTGCTTCATGTAAGAGCAGAAGGAAAAGCTCAAGTAATTTTCCTGAGTCCTCTCCAGGGTTTAGGAATGAAGCAGGCTGCGGAGGAGGGAGCTGGGGACAGCTGAGGAGAATATTTATTACAAGAAAGCAAACAGAACCTGGTCCTTTCCGGAGAAGCTTCTCTGGAAAGAGCAAATGTATTTATTTTGGGGCAGCCACTGGAAGGGAGGCTTTTGGTGTTTCTTGCACAGGCTTTTTTTTTTCTCCTCTGAAAAGCCAGAAGAGTTGAACATAGCCAAGTAACCTGTGCCTTGTGGAGTCACTAAAGGCAGTGTAGGGGCACAGAGCTCCTTTGCTGTTGGATACAGGGTACTACTGGCCCAGGACAGGGAAATTTTTCTGAATATGCAGCGGGAAGCAAGGAGTTGCCCTTTCAACAGCCACTTCCACCTTCCTCTGTGGTCCTGCCTTGGCTTCAGTGGCAGCAGGTGCTTTGCACCCCTTGTGTCCTGCTCTGGGAGTAGTGCAGTAATAGGATCGCCCTCAGCATGCTCGCTGAGATTAGCACACGTTATTTTTGCAGGCTGGAACTGTGATGCTAAAGCCTGCTTGGAGTCTATGTGTCGGTTCCTAATCCCAGGCAAAGCCCTAGAGAGGTCAGCAGGGCCACAAACAGAGGAATGTGCCCACCTGAAAGAGATCAGGGTTATTTTCATTGGGTCACATCAATCTCAGAGAGGAAATGTTTGTAAGAGTCTTACAGCCATCCCTTATGTTCCTGCTTTTCACTTGAGAAAGATGCACAAATTAATTAGGGACTTCTCTTCTTCTCAGTTCTCTTTTCAAAGCAGGGTCCCATAGAACATTTGCTTCTCCTTCCTCCTCTCCAAACAGCAGTCTCATCAGAATTTCTCCCTGACTGCCATCTGTAACAAAAGGAACACCACACCTTTTGCTATTTACAGTACAATTAACCTTTAGCAAATTAGCCTGTGACCATCATCAAAGGATTAAGGCAACACACCTTTGACTTGTTCCCACCGTGCAAGTGGTGCGCTGCATTTGCAGGATCAGGGCTGTATTTTTTTGTTGTCTGTACTGGTAAAATGGCCAGCAAAAGGGAGATAAACATTGAGAGGCTCTGAGAGACATGATCCAATGGAGGCAGCCCTGGCCTTCCTCAATGTGTTTGTGTTTCCCCTCTGCTGAGTGGTAAAGAATGGTAGCAAGAATGTGGGGCCATGCCCTGGCCACCTCAGGTTCATCTTCTAGCTTATACAGCCAAAGAAGGAATTGGCTGCCAAAATATCAGGCTGTGATGCACAGCAGCAGTGGTCAGGACTCACAGCCTGTTTTGCCTAGCACTGTCAGATCAGACCCAGATTTCTGTGTGTGCATCTAGGAGGAATAATGCATTTGGCCAAGGAGGCCAAAGCTTCTGGAAAGCTTTAGACTTCTGGCCCTTGTGTAGCCAAGCAGATCTGTGCAGATGCAGTGGACATGCCTGGGTTATCTGGACAACTTCCTGCTTGCTGCCTGGCCTCTGGGAGCAATCAAGCAAATGAGCAAGTTCCTCAAATTCCAACACAGAGCTCTGATAGAAAAAGAAGCCATCTCCAGGGGAATCCTGCCACTGCTTCTCTTCCCACACAGCTGTAACTCCTGGCAGAAAGGCAGGGCAAGTAGGAAAGACAGTAATGTCTTCAGCCAATGCAGCTGCAACTGTCAGAGTTAATGTCCCATAGTCCAAAACCTCAGGACACAAAGCTGCAGCAGGGAATGACCACAGCACAGTGGTCATTCTCAGACTGGCTCAGACTGGCAGGTAATGTTTTGTTCACGTGATCAGCGGCTTTGTGTCTTATGTTATCCTTCCAACATAGGATTGTCCCACTTTACCTCTGCCACCTCCTCCTCATGCAGCAAAATCACCAACAACGAGACAATTTCAGCCCAGGGAATAGGATTTTGGGAAACAGCTTCTCTTCAAACCACAGCACCTCCACTTCCTCCGTGTCCTAAAACTTTAGCAGAACAGTAATTGTTGGTAGTGCCTAGCACTTCTGTTTCTTTAGCACCAAGATTCAGGTGATATCACAGAACAACACTCTTGAGACAAACCCTGGACAGTTCCTTTGCTTGCAATTTGGTGTAAGCTACTTCTTTACACTTTTCCAGATGAGTGAGCATTTGAAGTTAATACAAGTTAAACAACATATTTAACCTTATTATGAGTTCAGCCCAAGTGTGGCTGGGTCAGGGAACACAATTCTGTCATTCCTTGATGATAAAATGTTTACCTAAGATGTCTTTTACAGCAGGAGAATGGTTTGGACTAGAAAGGGATGGCAACTTTGGACATGCAGCATGCTCTGACCAGGCAGAAACACGGCCTGAGGTGCTGCAGTGAAACAAATGAGTAGCAACAGTTTATCACTGCTGAAAGGAAACGCTCAAACAGCATCTTTTGAGGCAGTGAGCTCTTCACACTGTCACGGTACAGACATTTCTAACCATGTTCAGAATAGCCAAATAGCTGATGGGGAGGAACAAGGGACTGGTCTGATTTCAAACACATCCTCCATGTTATAGCACTGCCTGAGTAGCGAGGTGTCTGACTGAGCCCATGATATAATTGAAGGTTGCAATTTCCTGGTGATAGCACTGCAAGACTACACTATGAATTAAATAATAACAAAATGAATACAAAGTATAGTTGATACCAGACACTAAAATGAATGAGTGTAGTAAATAATTACACAACCATGTATCTTCTTGTGTAATTGATGACCAATTCCTCACTTGATATGCCGCACAGAACATGAAAGAGGAGTGACCAAGGTAACCTGCTGGTGATATAGACGTTATTTGGAAATTCAGGTTGTTTCTTAGGGCTCTGATTCTTGACCAATTCAGTATCAAAAAGCTACTGAACAATGCATCTAAAGCCAACAGGAACCATAAATGAAAGTCTCAAGTTATGCCACACTTGTGGCAGTATGTCAAGTTGTGATATGTCATACAGGGCTTCAGGGAGCAAGCACATCATCTGCTTGTGGGGATGACCACCTGGATGCAATGGCAGAGCATCCATAGCCACTGCAGATAAGTCGTAGACGTAGAGCCACACAATCATAGAATCATTAAGGTTGAAATTACCCCTAAGAGCATCCAGTCCGAGCAGCAGCCCATCACACCATGCCCACTGCCCACGTCCCTCAGTGCCACATCCACACAGGTCTTGAACTCCTCCAGGGACGGTGACTCCACCACCTCCTTGGGCAGCCTGTGCCACTGCCTCACTGCTCTGAGGAGAACTGTTCCCTAACACCCACCCTGCCCCCACGTCAGAGCCGTCAGCACTCAGACGTTCTGCCCATTACGAGGGAGCTATCCTGGTGGGAAGGCTGAGCTGCTAAGCTAAGAGTCAGTTCAGAGCCAGGGGAGCAATCGCTTACGTCAGCCTACAGCAATGAGCTTTTAATTAATTCACAACGAGCCAACCAGTAGTAAAACAAACTCCTGAGCTCTGCTATCACACCTGCCCGGATAACGTCACAGCCGGAGGGGGGGGAAGGGGTGGAGGGGGCTGAGGGGAGACATGGCGCGTGAGCAGCTCCGCGCGCTCGGTTGCCAGGAAGTGACGTCACAGCAGCGCGACCAGCAGCTGCCCTCGGCGCGCCGGAAGGGCCTTGGCGCCGCGGTGACGTCTGCGCTTCCTTCTTTCCCAGCGAGGCCGCAGCGCAGGTGGGTGCTGTTCCGCCGCGTTCAACCATCCGCCGCCATCCGCGCTTTGGCCGCGGCGGAGCCGCCGCTTTTGCCTGTTCGTGCTTTTCCCCGCCTGTCATCTCTCTGTTCCGAGGAGGGGCGGGGGGAAGGGTCGCCTCGCCGTCGCCGGCGGTAACGGCCCGTGTGGCCCCGCTGTCTCTTTCCGCAGAGCGCCATGGGCCGCGTCATCCGGGGCCAGAGAAAGGGCGCGGGCTCCGTCTTCCGCGCTCACGTGAAGCACAGGAAGGGCCCGGCCAAGCTCCGCGCCGTCGACTTCGCCGAGAGGCACGGCTATATCAAGGGCATCGTGAAGGTAAGGGGAGAGGGGGAGTCTGCGGGCGTCCGCAGTGAGCAGTGGGCCCCGAAACCTGCGTTTCCTAAACCTCACCTGTCTGAATGGACTGAAGTGCCATCGGTTGCTCTCAGAGCTGATAACTGTAGGCTGCTGACATCTCGTGGAATCGGTTCTGTCACTTAGGAGCTTTCTGTAATGCAAGAAGCATGAGTGAAGGGAGTCGTGCTTATAGTAGAATGCACTTAAAGGGAAGGATCTTCGTAAGTACAGCCCACTGGGACAAGGTGGTGCCTTTTGTTTGGGCTCTGATGATACTTCAGGTGGATTGCTGCAAGTACTGGTCAGTTGTCAGTGACGGAGGCTCTGATGAACAGCATGATGCCTGTGCCCAGTTGGATGCCCCAAAAATGAACCTTCTCACCCCTTCAGAGCACGGTCATCTTCAGAGCACAGAAAAAGATGCTTTGACACTTAAATAACTGAGTTTGACAAAAAATTGGAAGTTTAGAAACACTTACAAGCTTGAGTTGCTGTTCTGTGATAGAGATAAGTGAGCTGGTATTCTTACACGTGGATTTATTTTCAACTTACTCACTTCTGGAAAAATCAAGGTCCCCCTAAAAAGGGGGGCTCCAAGTGAAAATTACCTTAATATTAATCATCTTCAGTTTTTGTAATCCTTGGATTTTTGCTGAACCTGTGACAAATTCTATATCCTGTTCCAAAGCACATCTTTGTTCCCACAGGATATCATTCATGATCCTGGCCGAGGTGCTCCTCTTGCCAAGATAGCGTTCCGTGACCCATACAGGTTTAAGAAAAGGACTGAGCTGTTTATTGCTGCTGAGGGTATCCATACCGGTCAGTTTGTTTACTGTGGCAAGAAAGGTGAGTGAAGACCAAGCTTTGGGGTTGCATGAGAGGTTTCAGAGGCTTAAAGCAGCTGTCATTTGAATACACAGAGTGCGGGATGCTGAGGTGCTGGTGGGAGCTTTTACAAAGGCCATAGCTTCACTTACTGTAAGCAAACATATTTCCTTCTGGGAGGTGGAAGTCTCCTCATGCAGCCTGTTTCAGCAAGCCTGACTGCAGTGCTGTCAAGTGTTTGGATTGTTTTATACAGGCAGCTCTTGCCTGCCTTTGGGTTACAGTGGATGTCAAAACTTCGGTTGCAACTCAAATAAGTGCCTCTGTTTATTGGTATGCATGCATGTATGCAGTGCCCTTCTGTGCACAGAGTGCCTTCACTTGTGGCTGGAGTTGTGTCTGGGAGTCTGATTGAAGCAGCTGGTGCTCTGTGATTGCTCTTTGCAGCTCAGCTGAACATTGGCAATGTCCTGCCTGTTGGCACCATGCCTGAAGGCACCATCGTTTGCTGCCTGGAGGAGAAACCTGGTGATCGTGGAAAGCTGGCCCGTGCTTCTGGCAACTATGCTACCGTTATCTCTCACAACCCTGAAACAAAGAAAACCAGAGTGAAGCTGCCCTCTGGCTCTAAGAAAGTGATTTCTTCTGCAAACAGAGCTGTTGTCGGTAAGCAGGGACAACTAGGAACTTGATGTGCTGCTCAGCAAGTTGTCAAAACAGGGGCCCTGTTTTCAATGCTAGCTGGAGAGCAGTGTGATTTAGAGGTGTATTTGTCTAGATGCAGGATTGTGCTTAGATATGGTCTTTAGACAGATGTCTAACTTGTATGGCATACCTGCTTTACTTTTGGTAATGGAACTTCTTGGATTTGGGGATGCTTTGAGCTAGTGGGAGAGCAGAAAAGTAAGTGCTGTTTGCCCTGAAGTGATTAAGGAATTGCTGAGCTTGTAAAATCTGCAGATGGGGGAAAATGAGGGGAAAAAAAAAAACCACAATTAACTGAACCCTTAGGGTTTAGTGCTGAAGCTGCTATGGATGTCATCAGTTAAGGGAAATACTCTTGAAAGCCTAACGGTGAACAGCAATACCATTATTTACATCAAAATTCAGCCTCTTAGTGTGCAGTTAGGTGGATAACTTCATCCTGTGTGTAGCATCTGGAAAACACTGGTTCAGATAGAAAGTTCAGATTATTTGAGGGTGGTCTTTGCAAGCTTGTTCTTAAAATTGAATATTTTTTAGGAATTGGTTTTGTTTTCAAGCATTTTCTCCCACATCTTGCCTGTTGTAGTTGCACATCACTATTGCTGTGATATATTTCAGGAATTGTTGCTGGTGGAGGTCGTATCGACAAGCCCATCCTGAAGGCTGGCCGTGCCTACCATAAATACAAGGCGAAGAGAAACTGCTGGCCGCGTGTCCGTGGTGTGGCCATGAATGTGAGTTTTCACTTTGCCTTTTTATGGTTTAAAAAGGAACTGCTGGCATGGTTGGGGGGTAGCATATCACAGGGCAGGCTACCAGATATGTTTTTAATTAGGGTTGTTACCCATGCTTGGTAGTTATTGTACTGTGTCACAAATGAAGCAGTTGAAGTTCTTGGTCTCTCAAATCAATTTATTGCTGCTAAATGATGCCTTTGTTGTACGGATTATTTGACTTCTATTTCCTTTTCCACAGCCTGTAGAACATCCCTTTGGTGGTGGTAACCATCAGCACATTGGCAAGCCTTCAACCATCAGGAGAGATGCTCCTGCTGGGCGCAAAGTTGGTCTCATTGCTGCTCGTCGTACGGGTAGACTGCGTGGAACAAAGACTGTGCAGGAAAAGGAGAACTAAAGACCCAGTATGGAGCTTAAAGAATAAATTTTTAAAACTTAGCTTGTGTGACGTTCAAGTTATCTGTTGTTAAAGTGCTGCTGAAAATGGGGTTAAAGTTCAGAGGAAGGTTTGAGTGGAGATAAGGTAGTTTTCTCTACACCACCAGCTCCCTAACCCCTAAAAAAGTAGGTCAGGGATTCTTTCAGCCATTGCTTTCACTCTGTAAGCAGAGTTAGAGTCTGGAACGATACTCTATGTAGATGCTCTCCTGTCCATATGTTCAAGGGGATTGTCATATTGACACTAGCCTAGTTACCTGGCTATATATGCCTGACAGAGCTTTTCTAACCAATCAAGAAATCCTTTGAGCACTCAGTTCAATCTATCCATCTTGCCAAAATCATTAAAAGGCACTGATTTTTCTTAGTTAAGTAGACTCTGACATTGTTTTCTGTCTCATAAGAAAAGCCGTTGTCTTATGAAAGGGAAGCTTTGCTTTTTTTATTGTGGGGGAGAGAGGTTCAGCAGCAAGAAATGAGGTAGATAGAAGTTGTTACTGCAAAATAGTTGAATCTTAGGGCTTTACTCATTTGGCCTTTGGAAAAGTAAAGCTGTCAACATACCTGAGACTGAGGTTCTCAAACAAATTTCCAGTCCTATTTTGCTACCTTGGCTGATACGGACTTGCTTGCAGACTTGTGCATTTTTTCTCTCTGCTGTCAACATCAACTCTTCTATAGCTGGACGTGGTCCCAGAATAGGTACCAGTTTCTCTAAGCCAGGTGCTCCTAGAATAAGGTGGTGATCCTTTGAAAGATATGACAGTGAGACAGAATCAAAAAACCATTTCTTCAAGATTCTTTCCCTTAGAGGTGTAGAGCATTTCACATACAGCAGTCAGAGTTATTCCACTGGTCCTGAAATACCAGAGCCAGACCTCCACATACAAATATGACCTCCATCTAAAAGAATGAAAAATAAGGAGTATTTTTGATTTCCACCAACAGATGCAGTCTCCCAAACAATCATAAGAAAAAAAGAAAAACAGTTTTAAGTGTTCCAATGACTAACATGGCAAGATCCAAGTTAAGAAAAGTTTCAGAATCCTCTAGTACATTGAAAGCGTGCTTGCATGAGAGATTCTTAAAAGGCTGTTGGTTCAAAGAACTGGTGGCACCATTTGCATTAAATACACTCACATGCACCTCAGAGTCCATGGTTTCCAGCCACACTTGGATTTGTTGGCCCCTTGTTTTCTGGGGAAGGTCGGTTTCTCACTGTGGCTACTGTCAGATGTTCACAGACAACAGCTGGAAAAATGGGGCAGTAAAATGAGGTGCAAGAAAACTGCACACACAAATACTGTTGCTGAAGGCAGCTACAACTATGTTTAATGTTGACACAGGATGCAATGCTAAATTTCACTTTAAATTCACACATTTGAGGAGTCTGTAGACTTGATTTCATTCTCTTTAACAAACTGAGGAACAATTGTCCTTACTGCATGCAATGAGGTTGGACTTATTTATGTCTCCAATTTGTAGCAAACTTCCTTAATACCCAGGCTTCAGCATGTACGCAACACATTCTAACTGCTGCTTTGGCAGGACGCCTGGAAACAAAAGCCAAGGTTGTGAAACATCCCCGAGTATTGATTTCAGACGTTACCCCATGATGGAGTCAAACGGAGAGTTCACACTGGGTGAGCAAGGCACCATTAGATACTCCTGAATGGTTTACTCTGCACATAACCGGTGGGGCAGCAACACAGCCGCTGAGGGCAGCACACCCTTCTGTTCTCCATCCACAGCCAGGGCT